CAGATATAAGACTTTTTGTCACCATAGAAAATTTTTTTGTGTAGCAGTTATTCTACAAATTTGTAGCACATTGAGAGATTAACATAAAATTTAAGAATGAGGCCTTGTGGTACAGGGTGGGCGGGGGGGCACCTGCTTTGCCTGTGTTCAATTTTTGGCATCGCAGATGGTCCCCTGAGCCCCACTACATACGGAGCACCACATATGGAACCCATCCGACCTGGGTTCGATTCTTGGAACTGTAGATGGTCCCCTGAGGCCCACCAGGAGTGATCCCTGAGCACAGAACCAGGAGTAAATCCTGAGGGCTGTTCATTGTAACCCAAAATGAAAGAAAGAAAGAAGGAAAGAAAGAAGGAAAGAAAGAAAGAAAGAAAGAAAGAAAGAAAGAAAGAAAGAAAGAAAGAAAGCCAGCCTTGGGATAGAGGGATAGTGCAAGGGTACGGTGATTGCCTTCTGCACAGCCATCCAGATTCCATCTGTGGCAGGACATAGAGAACCCTCAGGATAGCCAGTAATGATTCCTGAGCATAGGGCTAGGAGTAGACCCTTAGTGTTGCTGAGTGTGACCCCCTCAAGTACACGCCCCCTAAAAGATTATGGCCTCTGGGATCAACTCTGGGTTAAAATAGCAACTCTTAACAGTCACCAGGTATAGGACCATGACTTGTCATCTAGCCTTTTGGCCACAGCCTCTGTTAAAATGAATAAAATGAATAAAAGAATAATAATGCCTACCTCATAGGTTATAGTGGGAGTTAAAGGAACTGCCGCATTTCACATACAGCAATTTCTTTTTTGCATGCTACATTGTCATCATAATTTTATGATCATTATTGTCATTATTATTGGTAAGTGAGCTGTTTTAGACCACTCATGGGGATTATTTAATCATGTTAAGTTCGGTCATGTTTCTATTATAGAGATTTCCAAAGATTAGGCCCTTTCCTTGCCTGTATACTTTCTCTCTCTCTCTCTCTCTCTCTCTCTCTCTCTCTCTGTCTGTCTGTCTCTCTCATAGCCTTCATCCCTATACCAGCACTGTAGCACTGCACTGCACTGTCCTCCCATTGTTCATTGATTTGCTCAAGTGCGCACCAGTAACGTCTCCATTGTGAGACTTGTTGTTAACTGTTTTTGGCATATCGAATACACCACACACAGGTAGCTTGCCGGGCTCTGCCATGCGGGCGGGATACTCTCAGTAGCTTGCCAGGCTCTCCGAAAGGGGCAGAGGAATCGGACCCGGGCGACCCAGGTTGGCCACGTGCAAGGCAAACTTGGCCCTACCCGCTGTGCTATTGCCCCATCCCTATACCAGATATCTTATTAAAAAATCATCCGGGACTATAGTCTACTTTCAGCATGCTATAGTCCCGGATGATTTTTTTTTTGCCACTCAATGCCTCTTTTGCAAACCACAACACCCAAAAGGAGAGAGAGAACAGAGGGGAATGCCCTGCCACAGAGGCAGGGTGGGATGGAGGGAGGGGGGTGGGAGGGATATTGGGATCCGTGGTGGTAGGAAATGGACACTGGCGGAGGGATGGGTATTTGATCATTGTATAATTGAAACCCAAGCACAAAAATTTGTAAGTCTACAACTGTACCTCATGGTGTCTCACTAATAAAAATTAAAAATAAAATAAAATTAAAATAAAATTAAAATGTAAAAAAAAAATTATCCGGGAGAGCCTGGATTTTGAACCAGCTCAGCCCCCAGTCAGCAAAGATCCAAGAGGAGGAAGGTAACCCAGAGATGATTTGTTGAGCTAAATCAATTTCTAATCTATCCAGAGTTGTAGAACTGAAGCAGCTTTAAGGATCAGGAAACAAAGCTTTTTATGAAAGTAACTACAAGTTAGTTTCTGTCCTCCAGCAGAGAGGAGCCAGCTGACTGCTTTGAGGATATATTTGTTTAAGATCTTTTCACCAAGAATCTCATTATCAGGAAGCTTTTTATTGCCAGCTGGGTCCTGGAATAGAAGCAGAGGCACCCGCCCATGACCAAATCATTAAGACAAATTAAGACATATTAGCATGTGCTGGAAAAAATTATCCACATAGATTTAATTTGTTTCACTGCTGGAAGAAAATCCTGAGAGGCCCCCAAATAGATACACCAGAACAGTTAGTGCTGCAGCCCCTCTGAACCTGTCACTTGTTGGCACTTTGGGACTGGGAGCAGCATAAACGAACATCTATGAAAGGACAGTATATATCTGAAAATACATACTGTGTTTTTAGGACAGGGTTCTGGGTTACAGCTGCTTTTACAAGTAACATGAAGTTCTATTACACTAGAAATGTTCACTGGGGGTGGGGGGTGTTGGTTTTGTTTCTTTTTGTTTTGTGTATTTTTATTTCCGTAAATACTAATTATCAATATTTTTATGAAAATAACATGCATATCTCTAAAATGGAAAAGGTGCATTTTATAGTCATCTATTAATAAACATATAGTTGCATTATTTGCTCTTTTTTTTTTTAAGAGAACAAACAGTATGAGGGTTCTTTTAGGATTTGTGGTCTTCAGTGTCTCTTGATTTTTTTTGGAGCGGGGTTTATTGTTTCCTGCAGAATTGTTCTTTCTACTGGGGGGGGGGGGGGTTAAAACCAGCACACTAAACTGTATTTTTTCCAAAGAAAGAGAACAGAATCTGTCCTCAAGTTTTCTCTAGAATGTGACTTCTACATTATGCTCAGAATCTGATTATTGCATGGTCGTGTCCTAGAGGTGGTGACTGGGCCCTTCGCAGTATCCTGGGATGACAGCTGAAGATTTAAGTTTGAACTCTGTCTCTCAAGACATTCACTTTCCAGGGAGTCATCAGCAGCCAGCTGTTTTCAGAGTGAGAAATGTCTGTTGTCATCATCATGCTAGCTGCCCTACCGATTTTCCCTGTTTACGAAATATGTGCTGTTGTATGTAGGAACATAAACTACTGCTTTGGAAATAGATAGGGCTTTCAGATCATGAGTCACGGTCACGGTCACGGTCCTCCCGTTGTTCATCGATTTGCTCGAGCGGGCCCAGTAACGTCTCCATCGTGAGACTTATTGTTACTGTGTTTGGCATATCGAATACGTCACGGGGAGCTTGCCAGGCTTTGCCGTGTGGGCAAGATCCTCTCGGTAGCTTGCCGGGCTCTCCGAGAGGGGCAGAGGAATCGAACTCGGGTTGGCCCTGTTGGCCGCTTGTAAGGCAAACGCCCTACCGCTGTGCTATCGCTCTAGCCCCAGATCATGAGTAAATATGAAAAATACTAGCACATGCTGATAGCCTACATATGGACTCCTTTTTTGGGGGGCTTGGCTTATGACATCCTCTTCATTTTTCTTGACACCTTTCCTTCATGTTTTGCAGTGGTCATGCATAAAGCTGTGCGTGTTGGCGTCAGTTTTTTTCCTATGGCGTATATTTGGCTCCAAGTGTGATTTCTGAACATTTCAAATGACGGCTTGCTGAAGGGTGTTGTGGTTGCTTCTCAGCTTGCTCTCTATAGAAGCAGTCCAGATAGAGAGCTGCATATTTTAACTCCATTTATATGGATAGCTGCATTGGAGGGGAATGAGTCCTTGAAAGAAAAAGTACTCTCTTCCCATCTCTACAGTTACTCTTGGCTTTCTGGCCAGCCCTTTAAGTACCAGATAACATTCACTCATTTCACAGGAAGCAGAGTCCATTTTAAATTGGATATAACAGTGTGATCTAAAGTATTCTAAATTACCTGTGCCTCACAATCAAAATCCTGCTCATTAAGGTTGTTAGTGGAGAAGCATTTAAAGTCATGAGAAAAAAAGGAGATCTGTTATCCAGAGTGGATAATAAAATTGCTGTGATGTACTACTGAACTTGATCCCTGATACTCTCTAAAGATCCAGCCATAAGTGTAAAGATGCCTAAATTCATTATGATGTAGCCACCTGAGATTATGTGGCACTTAACATTATCCTCAGTGATTCAATTAAAAATAAATGAATGAATGAAATAAAATTATCCTCAGGGTGATCCTGTAATGGTACTTTAAAAGATGTTTATGATACAGAATTAAAGATTAAAAGATATAAATAATCTCAACCATGTTTATAAACACCTTCAGAACCAGCCACCACCATGCTGAGACCACTCTCCACATACATGAAGGTACCGGCAGAGGAACAAAGGCATGCAGGTCCCAGGACTGAGATCTCCAAGCTTGCTCGGATTGGGTCTGAGCATCCTCCACCCAGATCCTCCAAATTCCAGTAGGCAGGGGTCACACCCACCAACTGGCCCCTGGCACCATGTAATCCCATCAACGGCCAAGACCCAGAGACTATAAAACCCAGCTCCCGGACATCTTATTATCTCATTCCTACTTTGGACAACCTGGCAGGCTACTGAATGTAACCTGCCCACACGGCAGAGTCTGGCAAACTCCCCGTGGCGTAGCCAATATGCCAAATACCAGTAACAATGATGGGTCTCATTCTCCTAACCCTGAAAGAGCCTTGAATATGGCACTTTTTTAAAAATCTCAGGGCTAGGACGAAGGAGACGTTACTGGGGCCTGCTCGAGGCAATCAACGAATAACAGGATGGTCGTGATCGTGATGTTTATAAAAATGAAGGAAAATATTAGAGAAATACTGAGTTTCCATATGAATGAAATAATGTCCAAATCTTGGTAACGTTCTAAAAGGAAATGGAAACAGGAAAGCTGTCTCAATGATTTTGACCATCCAGGCACTTAGAGCTTGCTGTGGCAGAGGCAGTGGGGTTCACCCAGAAGAGAACTTGCCCCCCACTAGTTTTTCATCTCTCAGGATCATGTATAAAATTTTGAAGGGCTTTTCTCCATTGCATCTTACACAAATAAAGTATGTGTGATAGGCCGAGCCAGTTCAGGGCATAGGCCTTTGAACTTGATCTCACACCTGAAGAATTGATTGACTGACCACTCGTCCTGGGAATGAAGCTTTTCCAATCTGATATGATTTGATTTCTCCCTTTTCAGGTGTTGCTGCATTGGATTCCAACGTATCTGGAAAAATTGGTCTACGTGCCGTCCTATATTATTTCTGTACCACTATCATTGCTGTAATTCTAGGTAGGGTTTATTCTTGGTTCTTTATTTCCCCGTGTAATTATGTCATTTCTTTTAGAAATAAGCCTTGTTACATGAACAAAATTTTTCAATCTGAAAGCAGGATTGTTAAAATACTATGAGACTTTTTGGGTTTTTTTTTTTCTTTTTGGGTCACACCTGGCGATGCACAGGGGTTACTCCTGGCTCTGCACTCAGGAGTTAGTCCTGGCAGTGCTCAAGGGACCATATGGAATCCTGGAAATCGAACCCAGGTCAGCCGTGTGCAAGGCAAACACCCTACCCACTGTGCTATCTCTCCAGCCCCGAGACTTTTTAACCTGTAGTGTACACTAAACCTTTTTTCATGAAAGAAATTTAAAACTGAGTTTTAGTCTTGATATAGCTTATTAATGTCTATAGTCAAAAGGGAGAACAAAGGTGACATTTCTATACCTTATAAGAATTTTTGGTAGAAGAAATGAAGCCAGTGCTTATTTGATCCTTAAACCAGATAATTAGGCTATTAAAGTAGAATTGAGATCATTATAAAATATTTCCAGAGCAACAGCATTTCTACACACTTCACATTTCACATTATAGTGGGAACTAACAGTCAACAAAGTCTTCTAACCAACTCTAAATTCCACTTAAAAGAGGGAGAAAGTTCCATTTGGGGAAGGAGATTGGGAAAAAACAGAAGGAATGAATGCAGATGTTTCAGCCAACTTGACCCTTGCAACTCGACTTTAAATGAACTATTAAGAGGTGGTGGAGACACAGTAAGTTATTAGGCCAAATAATGTAGGAGAGCCTGAGCCGAGCCTTAAACCAAAGCTACAACTTCTCATAAGTTCCTGAGAGAGGCATACACAAAGTAAAAATATAAGAGATAAAACAAAAGATAATCCTGAAAGGGAAGATAGAACCCTGCCATGGCTCTTCTTTTACCTCCCACTGACAAAATGGTGGGTCCATTCAGTGTTTTCAAGCCCAAGCCCACGGGATGGCCACCTCTTTTTGGAGAGGTGATAAAGGGAAGAGAAATGACTGTCTTCTAAACTTTCCTCCAGTCACACAAGATCTGATGTCCTGGTCTTACCACAGCCTCCCACCTCTCCTAGGGTACCTCAAGTGTCATGATGAACACTTCATCTCCAGAGGCCCAGGTGGCACTTTCCATTGCTCTCATTCCAACAATTCTTCTTTATGAGAAGAAGAAAACTCTCCACGTAATTCCTGTCTCATCCACCCCTAAGTCACACAGAACTACACTTTTCCTAATCCTAACCCTTTTTTTTTGGATTTCACATCCACTGTTCTTTGAATGAATGCCTGTAGTATTAAAAGGAGATGAATTGAGTTGCCTTAGTATGATTCTGAGAAAAAATAATCAGAATCTGTTGGTAAAAGTGACAAAGAGATAGTGAATGCATATTCAGAGTTGGAAAATCCTAACTGGGATTTTTCCTGCATATGCTCTCTGGCTAGACTGATCACATAAGCTAGAAAAAATAGTAGTCTCGTTGGTGGTTGTTCTTCAGAAGCAGTTCTGGGATGCAGTATAAAATAACATCTTCCCTTCTGCTTATTTATTTAAATGGAAAAGTAATTAGGGCCTCAGCTGCACGTCAGCAATTTTGCTGGGCCTTATTATCCCTATTCCAGGACTTCTTGGTACCACTCGGCCTAGTTGAGATCAAGGAGAGATGAAGAAAGGAGACACTGTGGGTGCCAGGTTCCCTGAAAGGTTTTCAGGTTCTCTGAAAGGTTTTCATGCTCTGTGGGTGTGTCCTTGCTCACAGGTATCGTGTTGGTGGTGAGCATCAAGCCTGGTGTCTCCCAGAAAGTGTCTGACATCGACAGGACAGGCAGCAGCCCTGAAGTCAGTACAGTGGACGCCATGTTAGACCTCATCAGGTAAGTGTCCTGACAATTCCATGGCTTCACAGGCATGTAAACAGTCTGGTCACATGGACTCCCCCTGCTTGTTCAATGTTCTACAGTTGCGATCATGAAGTTCTTAATAATGTGTGACTTATGCACACTTTCCTCTTTCCTTCTCTCCAAGAGAGAAAGGAAGAAACAAGCTTCTCTGAAGGAATCTGAGATGGAAATCCATCAGTTATTTGAAAAAAATGCAGTTAAATTATATCATTGATAGTAGTACAAGTGGATGAAGAGTGGGAGCCGGGGAGGGAACACAAGAGGGAGAGCTCATACCTAGCATGTGCAGGGGCCTGTGTTTCATCCCAAATATTGTATTTCTCACTGAGCACCACTGGATGAAGCCTCTTTAAGAACCAATGATACAGACAGGCATTATATGTCTTGTTTTTATTTGAAACTTAAGTGAATTTAATTTCACAGTTTTTGTGAGCTTCCAGTCTGTTCTTCAAATATGTCAGTTGGTTGTGGATTTTATACTTTCTGTTGCATATGCTATCCTTATGAATTCATCATCTACATTATCTAGCTTCAACTTCCTTGAAACTGTGAAACAGAACCTTAGAAACTGCAAGTAAAACTGACTACTCTACACTTAGCGTTCATTTTTTGTTTCTTTGTTGATTTTTGATTTTTGTAGTATTTCAATTGTCATACCTAAAGACTACAAGTATTTTTAGACAGTTGCCTTGATTAATTTTCTAGGCATTTTTGCTTAGATTTTCTAGAAACCACAGCTTCTTTTTCACATTGATATTTTACTGACATATATAAAGTTTAATTCAATAACTAAATTTTATGTCAGTAATATGGAAAAATACCAAGGTTCTTGGGGAAGCAGTCTTCCTAATTCACTCTCTTAACTGTCTGTTCCCACCTGCCAGTAGACAGCTTCACTGAGGGCAAACAGCTTCTCAGTGCATCGGGTAAGTGTAAGTTGATAGGGAGAACGTTCTGTATTTGTTTGAAGCTCAGCAGGGAAAGGAAAATTTAGTATATTATTCAGATGAAAGTCCAGAGAGAGAACTAAGTGCTGAATGTCTACTGTATTCATTTCCACCAATGTAAAACCACGACAAACCTCTCATCTTAACCTAACACTACTGTTCATGTCTCCAACAGGAATATGTTCCCTGAGAACCTTGTCCAAGCCTGTTTTCAGCAGGTAATAATAATGACTTTTGCCTTAAGTTACTCCCTTTTATACATAACCAGCTGATTGTTTTTGTCTTGTGTGACCACAGAATGGAATTAACTGATGAAAACTGGCTGCATAAATGTGTCTGTGAATGGAGTGTATTTCAATTAATTCTCTACTCCATGTCCTTGGTCTTTCCAGGCATGGGAAAGAACACGTTATTACTGCTGATTTTGTTCCCTTTTCCACTGTGCTCTTCCCCGCCCCCCCAAAAAAAGGTACCAAACAGAACCAATCGATGAGTATCTTTAAATGTGCCCTCTAGTTCCTATATTTAGAGAACCGTGTTATGTCTGTGTAGAAACTTGGACTGTCTGTAGATCCAGTGCAGGGGAAAAGCTACACACCACTTCCCTTATCATTGCCTCGTATGCTGGGAAATCAGTATCTCGCCTACAGAGACGGCTAGTGTTCTCGGGATCGGGTCTTTTCCTTGATAACTCCATCCCATTACTGACAGTCGCCTACAGAGACAGCTAGTGTTCTCGGGATCGGGTCTTTTCCTTGATAACTCCATCCCCGTTACTGACAGTCTATGGTGCAATGTAACACAGCCATGATTTTTCTTTCCCTCTGGGAGAGTCGAACAATCTCTTCACTTCAAGCCTTTTTCTCATTTGTCTGCGTACCTTAAGACAGCTGAATCTAACACCAACTGCTGCATTCATTTACATAAATTACACGAACAGAAACCTCTGTGTATACCAACAAAAATGGCGACAAATTGCTCCCTGCCAACCTTCGCTAACATAGAACCACCCCTATTTCAGGGGAGCCCGTACAGCTCATCCACAGTGGTCATTTGTAAGAAGCTTGGTGTTGGCAGAGCCTTGTGAGAGTGACATTTATGCCTTGTGCCATGGTACATACTAGCTCTTTCTTACATCTCTATGCTGAAGCGCTGGGAATTCAGACAAAATCTCACGCATGGAATAGCCCTAAAGGAACAGCTGACTCGGGAACAACCATGTATTTCTTGGTGTTTATTAAACTCGTGAGGGCTGGAGACAGCTCAAAAAGCTGAGCACACCTTCTCCATGCAGGAGGTGCAGGTACACATGGTACCCAGACAGCACTGGGAGTGTCGTGCAAACACTGCCAGATATGGCCCCAGTCCTCCACCCCGATAAAGAATGATAGCATACTTATCAAAGCGATTAAAAACATTAAAGAAGAGTTGGGGAGGTAGCTCATGGGACTGGAATGCATGCTGCCAGGCAGGAGCCCTGCTTGAGTCCCAGCACTGCAAGGTCTCCCCTACCCACTCCAGTGGCCCTCATGGCCCCCCTCAACTACTGCTGGCCCCGAGCAACACAAGGCTAAGTCTGCCAGGAGCAACCCCAAAACCCCTGAGCACTACTTGAAAGATTGCCCCAAATGATAAATGAATAAATAGAAACGATAGACAGAGTCTCTTTAAGGAGCTACAGATAAAAACTCTACTCTCTTTCACCTTTGTCCCTGGTACGAAAGTGAGAACAGCCTGACATCATTGAACGGTGCATATGGGAGTTGGTGGTATATGTCTCAGTCCCACTTTTGTTCCCAAAGCCTCAAGGAAACTGGAGTCTAGAGCTGAGAAGATAGCTCGAGTAGTGGCGTGTATGCCCAGTATATATGGAGCCCAGGGTTCGACCTCAGCACCACTTGCTTCCCCTCTAAGCACTCCAGGTAGCCCTGGTGGTCTCTGAGCACTACCAGGAGTGACCGCACCCCAATTCCAGATCCACTTTTGTGTGACATTCCCCGACTCTTTTAATTTAAAAAAAAAAACAAAAGCTGGAGTCAGAATTGGCCCTGTCAACAGCATGTATTTGGCCAAAGTGACATATTTCTGTGGGTTAACCTCAGACAGCACAGCGGGTAGGACGTTTGCCTTGCATGCAGCCAACCTGGGTTCGATTCCTCCATCCCACTCGGAGAGCCCGGCAAGTTACCGAGAGTATCCCGCCTGCATGGCAGGGCCTGGCAAGCTCCCCGTATTGTATTCGATATGCTAAACACAGTAACAACAAGTCTCACAATGGAGATGTTACTGGTGCCCGCTCAAGTAAATCGCTGAACAACGGGAGGACAGTGCTACAGTCCTACAGCTAACCTCAAGTTTAAAAACTCTATTTTAAAAAATTATTTTCTTAAAAAAAATTGTCTCTTGGTCCTTTCTTCTTGCCTTTTTTTCTGCAGTACAAAACCACACGTGAAGAAGTGAAGCCTCCCAGTGAGTCAGAAATTAATACGACAGAAGCATCTGTTACCACCATCATCATGACGACTGCTGTTTCAAAGGTACCGTCTCCTGCCTCTGCACCTGGGTGACCTGCCCCACTTGACAGCACTGAGTCTCTCAGGAGGAGGAAAGGGATCAGTATCCTCAAATTCTGCTTTTGAATTTACCTACTCTCCAAAATGTATATGTAACTCCCAGATCAGCAGGCAAATGCTCTCATGGTCATTCTCAGACCCACAGATAACAGGGGAAAGCCTTGAAGGCTGTCCACCCTGCTGAGGTGGAGCAAGGCTGCGTGTTATGGCTCCCAGACTGTAAACAAGTTTCATGTTATGACGTGTTTAGGCCACATTTTTCTGTGTTTTTTTTATTTTCTCATGATTTTGCTTTTGAAAATGTTTTCCTTGGGTAGATCATTTTCCTTGTACATGACCAACCTGGGCATGATCCCCTGTACCCCTATATGGTCCCTTGGGCCCTGCCAGGAATCATCCTTGAGTGCAGAGCCAGGAGTAGGCCCTGAGCACCACATGTTGTGGCCCCAAAACTAATAAATACATAAAATGTTCCTCACACACTGTGTTGAAGTGCAGACTGAAGTTTCAAGATGCAGGATTGCCTCATGGAGAGGCTAAAACGACAGCACTGCAGGGAGGGCATTTGCCTTGCATATGGTCAACCCAGGTTCGATTCCCAGCATCCCATATGGTCCCCTGAGCACCGCCAGGAGTGATTCCTGAGTGCAGACCCAGAAGGAACTCCTGAGTATTGGTGGGTGTGAACCACCCCCCAAAAAAAGAAAAAAAAAAGACTGCCTCGTGGAGTATAGCAGTATGTTTGAAGGTGGTCGTCATTCAGTCATGACGTATTGCGTGAGGACTGCAAGTTCAAAGTTAATGACTCAAAGACATTTATTAATTATTGTCTTTGAACAGAAACATATACAACCCCCTCCCTGATTTTAAAATGATAATTTGGAAAAAATGTTGTAAGCATTGGCTCCCAGCAACTGAATTCTCTATTTTCCCCTGTTAACAGTGCTTCAGCACTCACTGACCAGTGTCAGCAGTCACTCTAGACCATTACTGCCAAGAATAAAGAAAATCAAGGCACTGCATAGGGAAAAGAATGGGGCCTGTGGCATGTCCCGAGAGCTGAGTGGGCATCTTTGATTAGCGGTGTTTTGGATTCGGAGGTGGTCTGTATCGGCATGTGCAGACCCACGGGTGCTCATTCCAGACTGCCCAGAGGGGACTCAGTCCAGAGTTTTTCAGGCTTCAGAAGGGCTGTGTGGCATGTGCTCTGTGGGCAAGGACTGGGAAACAACATGAGAATCAAGCCACTCAGTCAACTTCAGCAGACTTAGAGAATATTCTGACAAGAGGAATAGCCTATAAATCACTTCCCCTCAGATCAGGATAAATTATGCCATTATGAATTTATTGATAAAGTCAGAAGGTTCTGAGAGATGTAGGGAATTTAGCACTGGAGTTTTAACCTGCTTGGTCCTGCAGTGATAGTTTGTAGTTCTGTATTTCTAGTAGATTTTCCTCTAAATGTTCTCTGCCTTCATGGCTTTGAGGAAAAAAAACTCAGTAAACTTCAGAACTCCAAAAGGTATTGGTTAGCCCCTGCTTCCTCCTACCTTAATGCCTCTGAGTAGCTCAGTGACCCTCGATGAGCTGGATCTGCTAAGATCTTGGCTAACTTTTGGCAGTGCCCCCTCGGTGGTTGTTAATGTTGTTGTTGTTGTTTTCTTGTTATTATTGTTCTTCTTCTTTGTCTTCTTCTTCTTCTTTGTCTTCTTTGTCTTCATCTTCGTCTTCCTCTTCTTCTTCGTCTTCTTCTTCTTGGTCTTCTTCTTCTGAATATTATTATTATTATTATTATTATTATTATTACTATTATTCAGCTCTGCCTCCTCACTTCTAATTCCTGCTTTTCACTGTGGCTCAACAATGATTTCAGTAGATTTCATTCGCCTATAAATTACGAATGGTCCTGCTGGGAATTGAAGTATCATGGTAGTGAAAAGATTGACATTACACCTGCCCTCATGTGAAGAGTGATGACTAGCACAACAGGGAAGAACAGGGCTATTAGGAGGCATTCACCAGGAGGTTTACGTTTCATCTGAGGAAAGGGAAGGATAATATCCAGGCAGGGCACAGAGAGCCCGTGCATGATGCCTTTACCTTTGATTATCTTTTTCTGAAGTGTGCTTTCATTTTCTGGCACTCTGCTCCTCAGGCTTAGTTTTCCTAGTTTCACAGCCCTCATTCATGCCCCCAATCTCTGTATAATACCTGGAATTCATTGCTTGATTATACAGTTAATAGCACATTATTTTGCATCGTTAGTCTTGTCTCTCTTAATGGCACTTCTAAGACTTTAAGATTTTAAGCTGTAACCAATGCAATCAGCACATCCTGTTTTGTAAATACGTGTTTGATCATACCAGCTCATAAATAAGAAATAGCTGATACCCCAGTGGCTTGGCATCATAAATCTTTATAAACCTAGGTTGCACCGCTCATATGGCATTATCTCATGTTGCAAATATCTCACTCCATCTCACACTGTACCACTCAGATTGTTATCTCTCAGGAATCTCATAATCTTCTTAACCAGGAGATAGTGAAGAAATGGCTCATAGTAGTAGGTATGTGGTTCATTTTCCTGTCTCTGGAATTTTGTTGGTCATTCAAGTTTGGCGGCAGGAAAGAATGCTCTATGATTCGTTATCAGGGTAAAACAAACAGTAGAATATTTTTTAAATGTTCCCATTAGTAATACTCTATACTTCCTGTATTATTAATTCCTATCATTTTTGCACAGACTTTAGCTGTAGCTACTAGTTGAAATAATCCTGAAAAAAAGGCCTTGATCCTAAATTCTTATTAAAAATGCAAGCCATTCTAAAATGAGAATCTTTCATAGAGATATGATATTTTAAACTGTTGAGAGAGAGAATGAGGGGGAAAATCGGTTTAAACATCAGAACCTTGGGTTGTAGAGATAGTATGGGGGTGGAGGTAAAGAATCTACCTTAAACACAGTGACCCATTTTTGATCCTTGGCACTGCATATTGTACCCTGAGCCCCACCAGGAGTGATCCACGAAGCAGAACCAGGAGGAATCCCTAAGCACAGCTGGGTATGACAAGCACAAAGATAAAATTTAAATAAACTTCAACGGTAGATAGTGAGAGACAGAAAAACTTGTTATATGTGTAGATATTTTTTGCATTTTGTTTCTTAGGGACTGTTGACTTGAGCTTATTGTTTTCACATATTGTACCTTCATGTTTATTGTTTTTGCCTATTGTTTCTTCATGTTTTAGGGTTTGTGTATTCTATCAAGATTATCATCATGAATCAATACAATTCTTTCGGTTTTCATTACAGAACAAAACAAAGGAATATAAAATCGTAGGCATGTATACAGATGGCATAAATGTTTTGGGATTGATTATCTTTTGCCTTGTCTTTGGACTTGTCATTGGAAAAATGGGAGAAAGGGGACAGATTCTGGTGGATTTCTTCAATGCACTAAGTGATGCAACCATGAAAATCGTTCAGATCATTATGTGGTGAGTAGATACCAGGTAATGCCATTCTGCTTTCCCAAATGACCACATCCTCAAACTTAGAATGAAGAAGCTTGTTTCCCAACTTTTTGACTCTAGGAAGGGCAAACACTGGATTCAGAGAGATAGTACAGCAGGTAGGGCATTTTCCTTGCACAAGGCCAACCAGGGTTTGATTCCTGGTGCTCCATATTGTCCTAAAAGCTTGTCAGAATTGATCCCTAAGCACAGAGCCAGGCATAGGCCCTGAGCACCTTTGGGTGTTGACCAAAACAAACAAACAAAAGGGAAAACTATTAACTTAGAGTATTGACTCATTCCACGTATTATTTAAGTTTTAGTTTACTAACAAAAGTCTAGATATAAGCCATTATTCTTTCTAGTTACTGAAGTTCTAAAACATGTCATGCCCAAACAACATTCAGGGTAGAGGGACCCATTATAGGACTGATTTGAAGGCGTTCCCATGCACATCAAAACAGATTCTTTATGTAGACATGTAGACATGATATCTAAAATAGTCACAATAGGGAACTAGAGAGATGATAGAGGGGATCCAGCGCTTCCTTGCATGTGGCACCCCAGATTCCATGCCCAGTACCACATGTGGTCTCCCAAGAACCACCACAAATCAGTCCTGAGTACAGAGCCAGGTAAAGCCCCTGAGCGCTTACAGGTGTGGCACAAAAACAAAATATCCACAACTGGTACAAAATAGGGACCAATTCTACCAACTGAAAGCTGCCATTGAATGGCCATCTGAATGGAACCACCAAAGTATTTGTCCTTTGATTCAGGATATGCCCAAAAACCTGCCTTTCCTAAGAGGTCTCTTCCCCATTAATATCTTACTGAGTTGGCTCAACATTATTTAATCCAAACCTTAGACATTGACAGTGACTTTCCGTTATTTCAGTCATTTAATGTTGATGGATATCACCAACATCTCTTACAAAAATAAAGATCCAGCAGTAAAGTCTACCTGAGATTGAGAGAAGTGTATGAAGAGAAATGATGCATGTAAAAATAATGAACCTAATAGCAGACACATAAAGAGTGCTTTATGAATAGCTATTCCCACCACTTCTGGTGATAATATTAATTGGAAAACTATATGATTATGGCTAGAAAGAGCCTGCTGGCCATATTTTGAGGGTCAGGCTCAGAGAGGTACCAGCTTGCAGGCAAGGTACATATACGGGAAGCCACACATGGGTTATGTATCAGTTGAACATTTTCCTGCCAGTTTTGCCCCATTCGGGTAGCTTATGTGTTTGGGTTATTAGGTACACCGAAGTTCTAAAAGATGGAGCTCTGGAACTGGAGTGATAGCACAGTGGGGTAGGGCGTTTGCCTTGCACATGGCTGGCCCAGGTTTGATTCCCAGTACTCCATATGGTCCCCCAAGCACCGCCAGGAGTAATTCCTGAGTCCAGAACCAGGAGTAGCCCCTGAGCATCGCCGGGTGTGACCCCAAAATAAAAAAATAATAATAAAAAAAGTAAAAGCTGAAGCCCACCTAGTCCACCAGGAACTTTACCTCCTTGTGTCCCTGTGTCCCTTGAGTACCTGCACCAAGCTGAGTATACATACCATGGGTGGTTTCTTCCCCCACCACCCCAAACTGAGAGTGCGCCCAGTAATGAAATTACGTCTTTATTGTGCTCACTTCTAGTTACATGCCACTGGGTATCCTGTTTCTGATTGCTGGGAAGATCATAGAAGTCGAAGACTGGGAAATATTCCGCAAGCTGGGCCTGTACATGGCCACCGTCCTGACTGGGTATGTCAGACTCAACAGGAAAAACAGAAGCCTCATTTGTGCCCCTGAATTGCTGCTGAGAAGCTCTGTTTCAGTTGGCTAAAATTAGTTTCTCGCCCATATTCAGGGAAAGAAAGGATTCAGAGATGCAGGGGGAGGGGGGTGGAGGGTGCCCTTTACCAGCTGCACTGGAGGTGGATCACACTGTGTTAATTGCCAGATCTTGGCAGAACAGCCTCAACCAGCTTTTGTCACTGCCTTTATTAGTGGTAGTAAAATTATTTTTTACAACAAGAACAAAACCCACTGGTAGCTTCTCTTGGTCTTCGCTTCCTTAAGCAAATGATCCACAAAAGCCACCCACCACCTATACCCTGAATCTGAAAGAAACTGGGCAGGGAGGGCTACATGAAACCAGGCTTGAGTAATTGGGGAAGTTTCCAAGCCAGATGGTAGGACTGGTAGCCGCTGTTGTGCCCTGTATCTTCAAGTGTCAGAGAGCTTGCTAGGAAAATCTTCAGGCTGGTAGGAATTGTGTAAAGCAGGAAGTCACCAGAGACAGGATTTTTACATATTTTTTTAATCACTGTGAGAACAGTTACAAAGCTTTCAGGCTTAAGTCTCGGTCAGACAATGATCAAATACCCATCCCTTCACCAGTGCACATGTTCCACCACCAAGAACCTCAGGATACTCCCCATCCCACCCCTCCCCCTCCCTTTATGGCACGTGATTTTCCCTTTACTCTCTCTTTACTTTGATTACATTCAATTTTTCCACAGCAGACCCACTATTATTATTTGGAATTTTCCGCCCAACGGTCAGACCTGCCGAAAAGGCATCATGCGATAGTTTGTTTTCTATTGCTGATACTGAAGAGCATATGATGGATTTCTAGTATTTTAGTGATTAAGTCCGGAGGGATTTCTGCCAAAAGTCGCTGGGTTCCGAGATTGGTTCGTGTGCCTCTGGGATCATGGCTGTTCAGGTGCAGAGGAGCCATTCATGGGTGGCAACTCCCGGCCTCGTCTGGGTGGGGAGAAGGGCCGGTTCCGCCCCCAATCCTGAGAGGCCCTGCGCACCCTGTCACTGCAAGCCCGTACCTCTCTATCCGATAGGCTCTGAAAGATAGCAGTCACCATGTTGCCGCTGAGGGGAAAAGGCGGAGGGACAAAACACCTTTCCCCTCCTGGGGCGGCTGTAGCTTAATTCACAGTCCAGAAGCATTTCTGCACATACTATTTTAAAGCCAAGATACAGCTCTTGTGGGAAGGTGTTATGGGATGGGTGATAAATGGTGGCCTCAGATATGTAGCCGGAGACGGGATCTGTCACATATACTCAAAATTATAAAACAAGGGAATGAGCAAATGCCATCCGTTTCACTCTCACAGATCAATGCTCCTAAATACTCCACTAGTGCTGCAGTCACCTGCTGGAACTCTGCAGAGCATTTGATTCTTAACCTGTGCATCAAAATCACACCCCTGCCAGTGGAGAAAGATCTGTATTTTCCTTGACAAATTCATACAATTTCAGTTTTGCACAGCTAATCTGTTCACTCTTAACTTGTCATTTATGTACACATCCTTTTCTTAAATTTCCTGTTTTGTTTCAGGCTTGAAACAAAACCCAGGTTTTGGAACACTGGAATAAAGAAACGAGGATGAATCCTGAGTCCTAACTATAGAACAGGAACTTCCACCTATGGCACCTCCTGATTTCCCTCATAGTATTGACCAATCAACTGAGTATGGGAGGTCATAGAGGTTTGTGTAGGGGCCACCAAAAAAGACAGGGTCAGCTTCACCAAGGAAGGTAAAGGAAAGTTTTCTGGATGAGGGAGGAATTTTTGCAGACTTGTAGAGAGTAAAAATTCAGCAGATGCCAGAGAGATAATATAACAAATACGGTGTTTGCCTTGCATGCAACTGACCTGGGTTCAATCCTTGGCAACCCACCTATGGTCCCCCAAGCCCACCAGATTCTTGATAAGTGACCACTGGTAGACACCCACTGGTGGACACCTCCATCCACAAGAAAAAAATTGCAGCAGAAGGTAAATGAGCATTTCAGACATACAAGACTTGACTGCCTGAAGTAACTATTCTGTGACTTCTGAGACTCATCTACTGAATTTGCTTCTACAGATACTACAGCGATTTACAGGGGGTAGGGCATTTGCCTTGCACGCGGCCAACCTGGGTTCAATCCTCAGCATCCCATATGGTCCTCCAACCACAGCCAGCAGTAATTCCTGAGTGCAGAGACAGGAGTAACCCCTGATCAACTCTGGGTGTGACCCAAACCCCCCCAAAAAATTTAAAAAAATAATACTTCATTTTCTGAGCCTCAGCGTCCTCATATGTGGAATGAAGACATGCAACCTGTACTACCTCTCATTGTCTTCTTGGATCATTATTAAAATTAAATGATACCATAACAACAATGAAAAATAGATATTTGAAAGAAGGGCTGTATGAAGAGATGTACGGGTGGTGTCATTGATGAAACTGTTTCTCTCTTGTTTGCAGGCTTGCAATCCACTCTATTATAATCCTACCACTGATATATTTCATAGTGGTACGAAAGAATCCTTTCCGATTTGCAATGGGAATGGCCCAGGCTCTTCTGACAGCTCTCATGATCTCATCCAGGTAAATGAAGGAGGGGTGTCTGGAAGAAGTGTCTGAGCCAAAGACTCAAGGGATTCACATATTTTGGGGTATTTGTAGTTGCTGTCAATTCCAGAGAAGGACATCTGTATTATTTGCCCGTGTCCTTGAACGTTATTTCACTACCCCCTTTGAATCTGTCTTACCCTCCTGCATGGCCCACAGCCCAGAAAAGGGTTGTAAGCAGACTGGGAACAGTGGCAAGCTCAGCCCGATTCATCCCTGGATCTGCCAAAAGTATGAGTGGACATTGGGGATTTTATTTAGTTTTGGGTATGGAAGTCTCTCTGGCACTGAAGACCAGCATGCTTACCCTTTCTCTTTTAACTCACACAGTTCAGCGACACTGCCTGTCACTTTCCGCTGTGCTGAAGAAATAAATCAAGTGGACAAGAGGATCACAAGATTTGTGTTACCAGTTGGCGCCACAATCAACATGGATGGGACTGCGCTCTACGAAGCAGTGGCTGCTGTGTTTATTGCACAGTTAAATGACATGAACTTGAGCATTGGGCAGATCATCACTATCAGGTGGGGCATAGACTCACACTCATTTGCATCTCTGTAACTAGAATTGCCTTCAACCATTGATGATTTTCCAGGTCTGCAAAGCCCCTTCCCAAGAATAACCACGACTCTAAGTAGAGGGATTATGATATGCAGAACTTCTGCTTCAGGTGCTGGCCAGCCAAAGGCATCACTGTGTTTTCAATTCCAGTGCACCCACTAGGACTTTGGCACAAAGGTGGTATCAAGAACTTAAGACTGAACAAGAATCAATCTGCCTTTTAAGGGGTTCCCAGTTGATCCGTGATATAGATATTTCAATTAATGCCAAGGGTTGGTATAAGGGTTATGAAGAAGTTTGAATTGGCAACACAGAGAGCACAGAAGACACATTGGCTCTTCCTTGGAAGGTACAGAAAGTCTTCCCAAAGAAGGGCAAAGTTTAGCTAAAATCTTAGAAGAGGATTAAAATTTTACTAACAGAAAAGGGAAGCTAAGAATATTTTGAATTTTAAAAAAAGTGTGTATAGAGCTTGTGAAGTAACCATGGACTAGATATTTTTTTAAAAAATGTTGGTATCGTTGACATAAAAAGCATTTAATGGAAAGTAGAAAGATGAGGAGGCAAGGATCTTACAATAGAAGATCTCGTGTGGAAGCTCATGGAAAAGTCTTTGAAACCATTCATATCATGGACAAATTTGCACTTTACAAAAGTAACTTGGCAATATGGTGACTGAATGGGAAGAGGCACTAGTAGCTGGAATTATGGTTCAAGGACTATTGCAGAAGCCTAGGTAAGTTACGTAAAGGCAATATCATGGCACTGTCAGTAGGGATGAAGGAAAGTCAAAGAGTTCAAAATGCATCATTTTGATTCAGGGAGAGAGCTGATAGGACTAAGGCCTATTACTGACGTGGGGAGGCTCTGAGCTCAGACCTGGGTACCACGTGTTCCCTGAACGTGGCTGGCTAGAGCCCTCGTGGCCTCCAAGCACCACTTGAGTGACTCCAGTATAGCATCTTATCATTGGGCCCACGCACAGCCAGGTTGAGTGTTCCTGGGAGTGGCCTCTGGGCCCCCTGAGCTCTACTTGAGATGCCCAGAATGGAACTATCAATTGGATTCAGAGTGACAGACACAGAACTGCTCAGAGGATTCCCAAGATTAGTGGATATTTTCAGATTGGTGGATGGCATGTGCCAGAACAAAGACTGATAGAAAATGGCTTTTAGGTGGGAATTTAAAAAGCTCATCCTTTTCACACATTGAATTTGAATTGTTGCCAAGACATTCAAGTGGAAATATGCAGTGAGAAATGTGAGATATACAGCAGGTATGGAAGTCAGGGTTATCAGCTTGAAGGGGGTGATCAAGCATGCAGGTCGTGTGAGGTGTTATCGGTGGGACACATGAGCCTTCGCTTCACCATGATAACTGTAACCTTGGCCAATTACTTGCATTCTCTCAGAGTCTGTTTTCTCACCTGAAAATGAGGATAATTATCACTTAAATCACTTAACTTCCCGTTAGTCGTCGATTTGCTCGAGCGGGTGCCAGTAACGTGTCCATTTGTCCCTGTCACGTGCTAGTGTAGGCCCAATGGCATCTGTTCGCTCCGGGAACATGAAGAGCCTCAAACCGATCATTCATGATCTTGACAAAGAAGTCTGACCATCTGGTAGGTGGGCGGCCATGCGGTCTTTTGACAATCCCGTGGAATCCAATCAGTAACAGCTCTAGTCCAGCGGTAGTCTTTAAATCTCATTACGTGACCAGCCCATCTGATTTTCGACACCTTGGCAAATGAGACAGCGTCCCTGATCCTTGATCGTCGATGGATGTCAGAACTCCGGATTCTTTCTCTCATTTGAGTGAAACGTGATATTCCAAGCATAGCTCTTTCAATTCTTCTTTGGGAGACCCGAATAGCATTCTCATGCTGTTTACGTAGGGCCCAGGTCTCTGAGGCATATAGGAAGAAGAGTGGAATCAAAGAGGTGTGCCCGGAGCCGGAGGTTCTTCGTCCTCTTAGCTATTTCTTCGACGTTCTTGAAGGCGTTCCAAGCCGCTCTCTTCCTCCTGCGCAGCTCGGGTGCCAGGTCATTTGTCATGTTGACCTCTCGACCTAGGTACACATAGCTGTTGCATTCGGAGATGGTCGATCCGTTGAAAGTGAATGGGGTGTCAGGAACAAGGCTGTTTCTCATAAACATTGTCTTCGTAAGATTCAGCTGTAGTCCTACCTTTCCACACTCACGGTCAAAGTCGGCCAGCATTTGTGCCCCTTGGCTGATGTTTGGTGCATGCCTCAGGAGGATAATTATAGTACCCACATTTTATGCAAGTAGTGATAAGTAAATGATAGGAAACATACAAAATGCTTATAATGCTGCCTGTATTATAGGCACTCAGTAAATTTTGGGAATGGATGCCATTGGATGAGGAGAGTTTGCAGAGAAACAGACTAAGGACTGAGTTCGGAAAAAATCCTAGTGTCACAGACCAGGAGAGCCAGAACACCCAATGGGAACAAGAAAAAAAAGAATGGCAGGAAGAGAACCAGGAAACCAGGAAACCCAGAGAAGAGAGGATTTTTCAAGGATGAAATTAATGGTCAACAGAGTCAGATACTCCAGGGAATTCTAGTCAAGTAGAGAGTAAAATTGCTCCAGTAAATGGTGAAAATCTCATTAGTGAATTTTGCCAGAGTTGTTTTTCTGGAATAGAACTCTTCAATCTTGGACTATCAAATTTAATAGAACAAACATAGAAGGTTCTGTGATTAGATAAATAGTTCTCATCATTGTAGCTTTCATAATTACAGACATAAATTTTAGTGGACACCACTGCTTTGGTGTGTTTGGTTGGGATTTGAATAAACATGGAGTCAATAGTTCAGTTTAAAGTAGAAGTTTTAGACAAAATCAGATTCTCTGAGCTATGCCAGGTTAAATCTGTACATTACAGAGTTAATTTACTCCTCTATTCCAACATTTGTCATGGGCATAAATTATATGTTAAATTACGATAATTTTCTAACTATTGTTTAAAAATCCTCCCTAACTCTGGGTCAAAGTGTTTATTACAGTTTTCTTTAAATGGACTCAAGACAGGTACTAAGTAGACCCCATGGTATTTGTGAGGAAGAGGCACTGACTTTGCATGAGCTGGAAAGTGTTAATGGCTGAAGCATCCTGTGTCAAAGGTGCTTCCATCAAGTCTGGTAGTTTGAACAGCAGCAGGTACATGAAATAACACTGGAGAAAGTTCCTGTTCCACAGTCATACCCACCATGCAGTTCCAGTGGTAGCTACTATTAGATTTTCCACGGCCTTTCCCGTCCTGCCTCAGCCCAGCTGATCCACACACAACCGATTTCAACTATTTTTCATGTGATGAATCCCTCCCCTCTGTCTCAATCTTAACTTTTCTGTGTTGTTACAATTTTTTTTGCATGCCAACATTCCTGGTGGTGCTCTGTGGATCTGGTGCTGAACTCAGGACCTCTCATGCCTGATATGTCCTCCATCCTCTGAACTTTCTCCCTGACTCCAGAAGTTTTTCATTTTTTTAGTCTGATTGGGAGAGAAATAAAGTTTGGGCCTCGAATATAAGCAGTCAATTCACAAACCTCTCTTAGGAGCCTAATACATTTAACAATCAATTCATAAACCTCTCTTATGAATCTAATACATGTATTATACGTACATATATACATAATATAGAATATATACATATAGAATATATATATGCACATATATATGTATATGTACATCCAGAGCCAATGACAGCACACTGAGAATATCATTGACTTTTGGCTCTACATATATTATAGAGAATAAAATAATAAATATTTAACTTTATGAATTACAATTGTGGCCCATGTGGCTGGTGATTAAAAAGATCTCGGGGGCTGTGGTTTGTGTCTCTTTTTTGTGATCTCTTTAGGCTAGACATCAAATAACAGAGGTATCAATTACACAAAGCATCCCCTTCCCCTGTGATACTATCATATTCTCTTACCAAAGGTTGCATGTGGTTGAAAAAAAGAATAAATTGTTCGTATAGTGGAATATTATAACAGGCTACAGGGCCTCAGGAGTTTAAAAGGAAAAACATTGTAGTGGCAGTTAATAGTCCTGTTTTGTAATAGTCTTAGTAACAGCAGTTGTTTTGTATAGTAATAGAAGTCGTCCAGCTGCTGCTGTTGTAGAAGTGGCACAGAAATAACAGCGGCTTTCAAGACCCACTCGGCAATCGCTAGACTAGAAGCCTGACATATAATAATTCATCTAATCTTCACAGCGACCGTCCAGGTAGACATATGCCCACGTCGTATAAGTGAGAAAGTCAAATCATTTTACTTGTGTATGGACTGTCAGTAAAGTGACGGTCAGGCCTGGCTGACCCTAAAACCTGTATTCACTCCGATTCACACCCCAGCCACCAGCTCAGAAGGAGAGCTGAATGCCATGGCCTTCCCCAGATTTGAGCTCATCTAGGAAAGAACTTCCTACCAAAGACTATTTTCTTCTCAAAGAAAACCTGCTAACATGAAAATCAAGAGTGAGCTATTCAAGTAGAAGTAATAGGGGTTCCTGACATAACCCCATCTGAAGTCATAGGGAACCTAATGTCATTTGAAGATTTATACTTAGGAGTTTCCAGCCAAAGCCAGTCAGATGGGTGGCGTTTGATAAGTCTAGTCAGTGCTCAAGGGAAGTTTACTTTGACTAAATAGTTAACCTTTGAGTAGGTTAACCTGGACTAGTTGAGGCTTCCTAGAGTAATCAGTGACTATGGGCATAAATCGCCTTAACAAAGAAAGTCTATCAGTACATTCACAGTCACGGTCACGGTCCTCCCATTATTCATCGATTTGCTCGAGCGGGCCCAGTAACATCTCCATTGTGAGACTTGTTGCTGTGTTTGGCATATCAAATATGTCACGGGTAGCTTGCCAGGCTTTGCCGTGCAGGCGAGATACTCTTGGTAGCTTCCCGGGCTCTCCGAGAGGGGCGGAGGAATCGAACTCAGGTTGGCCATATTGGCCACTTGCAAGGCAAACGCCCTACCCGCTGTGCTATCACTCCAGCCCATCAATACATTCAGTTTAAAATTTTCCAAGAGTACTAAAATAAGCTTGATTCTTTCTCAAGCTAATAATTAAGTCATAGTAGATCTAAAGTAGTATGCAGGTCTGAATTTTTTTATTTTACTTGATTTGGGGGGCGGCTATTATATCTGCTGTGCTCAGGACTTACTCCTGATGATTTCTGGGACCATAATGGGTGCTGGGGATCGAACCCTGGTCAGCCACATATCAGGCACAGGTTACCCTCTGTACTGTCACTCTTACCCAACAGGTCTGAAATTTTTTGAGGAATTCTGACAATCTTAGAAATAACAATTTTACTGTAAATTGGTGGTCACAACCCCTCAAGTAAATGCAGTTCTCAAAAAGCTCTGGCCTGCATTTGTGCCCTCAAACACCATGGGCAAACCATCATGAGGCAATCCAATCAAGAGCAGTCCAATCAGCTTCTTAAGAACTTTAGGACATTTTGAGCCTATAGAAATGACTTTGTTGATAGAATCAGGCATTTCTGCCTCTTTGAGTTGGTAGCTTCTACACACTTCATACTCGTGGTATCCTGGAGGCAATTCAGGCCTTGGCTCAGGGTTAAAAACATGATGCCAGAAAGTATAGAGGGTGTTGCCTCCAGTTCACTGAAATTCAGGGACTTTATTGGGCTTGGTAAGCATCTGTTCTCCCTCACCACCACACACACACCAAAATCATAATTGTTTATGTTGTCATTGTTGGACCAAATCTGACGGTGTTTAGGGCTTTCTCCTGGCTCTGTATTAGGGCTTTCACTCCTGGCAGTATTTGAGATGGAACCAGAGTTAGCCGTGTACAAGTCAAGTGTACAAGTCAAGTCACTTCCCACTCCCAATACTATCTGACACTTTAAAACATATTACAATAAAAGTGTTGATGATAACTGAATATTCTAAGGAGAAAGCCCCCTACTGACACATGTATCTTCCTGAGAGGAGTCTTTTTCTTATTATTTTGAGAAACAGTGTTCTACAAGTGCTGATTTACAAGATTATAAGTATTTCAATTTTAGGGTACAGTTTTACCAAACTACACCCACTACCAAAATGTCGCTATCCCTCTAACACTCTCCATAGGATTTCTTCCAATCCACCTCCCTTCCCTCCCCCGGTAACCTCAGTTCTGTTATCAGAGTCTACAGGTCAGCTTTGTTGTACCCTGTCTTTTCCAGCAGGGATCTTTTTAATAAATCATAGTCATGTTCATTTGCCTGACTCTCCTGGATTCCAGATCTCTCTTTTGTACAAAGTGCATCTAGCGGCAAAAAGGAAGTCAGGAATAAACACATGTAACTTGCACAGGAGCCAAAGATAGTTCAGTAGCATAAGTGGCATCTCCCAGAATTATCAGGAGTCTTATGACGTCAAGAAAGCATATGAAACTTTCTTTACTGTGTCTTTACCTGAAATACCCTGGCCCATGTACCCATTAATCCACTGCATCCTTCAAGTCAACCGGGATTCCTGGCACTTAAGTTGATGAATTGGGGATGAGTCTATAGGAGAAAGAAGAGAACAGATACATTTGGAACTAGGTGCTTATTTAGGGTGGATAGGTAAGTGAATGGGTGGATAAAGCTGTCCATAAATACCCTGGAGCTGAAACTTGTCTTCTTGAATATCTCTCACTTGTTCCCTTTTCTGTGACCATTCATACTCGTCTTCTCCCTCACCTTTGTCACATTTCTTTCTGAAAGGAAATCATTCTCCCCTCAGTCTTCCCACGGCACTCAAATTATGGCAGAGCTGGTGCTCAGCAAATAGCTGATTTTGACTGGCCACTAGCCACAGGGCCATCAAATCTAGGGACCTTGAAGGGAGAAATGGGTGTCTCACTTCTTTCTCAACGGTTGTGTTTCACTGCAGCGTCACAGCCACCACTGCCAGCATTGGAGCTGCCGGTGTGCCCCAGGCTGGCCTGGTGACCATGGTGATTGTGCTGAGTGCCGTGGGCCTGCCTGCTGAAGATGTCACCCTCATCATCGCTGTGGACTGGTTCCTGTGAGTTGGAATAAATGCGCTGCCTCGGCCGGGTGGGAAGGTGGTCTCCCAAGCCACACACACTCTGCAATCAGTCATCATTCCCTCTGCTGATTGCCTAATGAGCCATCTGTTGCTACTTCCCCTTATCTCCGATGAGGCCATCTGACAACGTGCTTAAAAATTAACTCCTATAACATCCAGCAGTGATTTTAATAAGCCACTGTTCTCTAACTAGCTCATTGTACCTGTTCAAGGCTAAGAACTGGGTGTGGGATAAGAGCGATATAAAACAATAAGGTGATGGATCTGGACAAGGCTACAGACATTCCAAACCCAACCATAGTAGCCCATCCCAGCTGTGGGGTAGTGTCTCAGGCTCAGAACTTGATTCAGAAACAGCCCCTCCCCCCAGTGCTCACAGGGATGGTGGCACAAAGGCTTTAAGGCTAAGACTATCACAATCACAACCATCCTGTTATTCGTCGATTGCTTCGAGCAGGCCCCAGTAACGTCTCCTTCGTCCTAGCCCTGAGACTTTTTAAAAAAGTGCCAAGGCTAAGACTAACTTGAATTTAAATCCCTTTCCAGTGCTTAATTCACTAATAGAGCATAAGCAGTTTCCTTAATCTTACTGAGTCCCAGTCTCCTTATCTGTGAGATGGAAAAGAATCTGTCTGCCTCACTGGATCAGTAGGACTATGTGAATTAGTGCAGAGACGTATCTAAAATAATGCCTTGCAGGCAGTATCTATTCAAAAAATAGTAGCGTTGTTACTATTGGTTAGAATGAGTAGGACCATTCAGACCTCAACCAACAGTGTCTCTTCTTTGTCCCTGTCTGCACACATATTCAAACATGTGCATGCATATGAATAAGAAATGCAACACAATAGCTAGGTGGGAACATGCCTTTTGCAGTTCCAAGGTTAATGTTAGAACAAACGGACTTCCAACTTTGTCCTCGTGGGGCCAGAGAGAATGGAGAGCAGACAGAGCACTTGCCTTGCATATGGCTGACCTGGGTTCAATCTTTGGCACCACGTATGATCCCCTGAGCACCACTGGGCATGACACAAATCCAAAACGTGAAACAAACCAACTTATGATCCCCTGAGCACCACTGGGCATGACACAAATCCAAAACGTGAAACAAACCAACTTTATCCTTGATACACATTTTGTCTATTAGCGTTCCAATGTTGAGGTAAAGTTCTGCCCACTGGCTATCAGGTGTAATGTTAGATATATATTGAACCTTCTCTTAGGACCAGCATGGGCTAAATGTCAACTGAAATGGAAAAGGATTGAATTTATGTGGTTTGATTATAGGCATTGTCCCAGGAGGCAGAAGCCTTTGTACCTGAGAAACTGTTCTATGTGGGGTCCAGTTCAAAGGTCCTGTTTTTACAAGACCCAGGAGGGGTGAGGTGGTGGCGGGGGGAGTCCTTTCATGCAAAGATAAACTTCATTGAGGCTTTTATTTTTCTTTTCAGTGGTGATGATTGATTGGTACTTCTTTCCTTTCCCTGACTCTTTCTAAAACCAGTCACTCAAGATACCTAGAGAAACCAAAGGTCCATTCTGATCCATTGTATAGATGAACTGGTCTGTACCTGATCTAGTTCAATCCATTGCCTTATTAAATAACTAAAGGGGGGATCCAGAATGGACATGTGAAAGCATTTAGTCTTTTTTGTCTTGTGTTTATGTTTATCTCATTTTTACTTTGGAGAACCCGGCAGGCTACCGAAAGTATCCTGCCCGCACAGCAGAGTCTGGCAAACTTCCCATGTGGCACTCAGTATACCAAATACCAGTAACAATGATATGGTCTCATTCTCCTAGCCCTGGAAGAGCATTGAATATGGCTCTTTTAAAATCTCAGGGCTAGGAAGAAGGAGACGTTACTGGTGCCTGCTCGAGGCAATCGACGAACAACAGGATGATCGTGATCGTTCGTAGTTTTAAATCAGCATATTCATGTACATAGTTCCCTCCTGCAATGCTCTAGGATCAAAAAGTATACACTTAAACACTTGTCTCCAGTATTCCTTCTCTATACATTTTCCTACTACCAGCTTCTGCTCCAGCTGTCTGGAAGTTAAGACTGAGGGTGCCTTGCAGAATGCCTTTCTGAGGCTGGCTTGTTTTCTGACTGTGCTCTGCCGCATGCCTGCTGGCTTACTCATAGAACATCCTAGTGTGGTAAAGAGCGCCAGAAAAAAATACACACACACACACACATACACATACACACACACTTGGATGTGGGTTTCCATAGGTCCACACACATTTCCATTTGGCACACACACACTCCCACGCACAAAACATCCAAGTTCACTTTGGCCAAAAAAGAGTCCAGAAAAACTCACAAGACAGATTTAGTGCAGGAAAGACTGACTAAGTTCTGACCCTCTTTCAGCTCCACCAGAATATCTGTGAAGGTTCTCCTTGGGAAGAGAAGAAAGAGTTAAAGCATTCAGAACTGGATTTAAAGGAATCATTGTGATTTATGGGGAATACAGACCCAGAGGTGCCTGAATATTCTTTCTGGACTATTACAAACCACTTAGTAGCACAAGCCTGTAATGAAAGGAACTTCTGGTTGGCCAGCCTGGTCAGGACAGTACTTACTGCTGTTTTGTTTAATTTGTAACCCCCTATTTAAGATCCTTGCTGTTACAATTGTAGCACTGTCCTGTAGCACTGCCCTCCCGTTATTGATTTGCTCGATTGGGCACCAGTAACATCTCCATTGTGAGACTTGTTGTTACTGTTTTTGGTATATTGAATACGCCATGGATAGCTTACCAGGCTTTGCCATGCGGGCAGGATACTCTCGGTAGCTTGCCAGGCTCTCCAAGAGGGATGGAGGAATTAAACCTGGGATGAAGCGATAGCACAGCTGGTAGGGCATTTGTCTTGCACGTGGCTGTTACAACAGTAAAAGAAAATGCAGTCTGGGCCATCTGTCCTACTCTTCCTCTCTCTTCCACAGGGACCGGTTCCGGACACTGGTGAATGTCCTTGGCGATGCATTTGGGACAGGAATTGTGGAGAAGCTCTCTCAGAAGGAGCTGGAGCAGATGGACGTTTCTTCTGAAGTCAACATCGTGAACCCCTTTGCCCTGGAATCCACAATGCTCGATAATGAAGACTCAGACACCAAAAAGTCCTATGTCAATGGTGGCTTTGCTGTAGACAAGTCTGACACCATCTCATTCACCCAGACCTCACAGTTCTAGAGCCCCTGGCTTGCTTATGAGGACTGGGATTGATGAAGGACATCCCCATGAGTCAACTCTTAGGAAACGCAAACTATAATTAAGGAAAAGAAAAACACTATTGGGCAATTGCACATTTGATTTGATACACAGACCTCGATTATTTTCTATATTTGGATTCACAACTTTTGCTCTTGGGTTCTGGGACTTGGGGGTGGGGTAAGATGATTTTGAAACTGATTTTTTAAAAAGCTGTATTATCTGGAATTATAAAAATTCTAATTTTGGAAGCATATAAAGTGTAACTGTTGGAATTAGGTAATGGATGTAGAAAAGAAATTGCTTTCTCAATGTTTTGGGTTTTTAAAAAAATATTCTGTCACTGACTACAAATTTTTACTCAGGCTTTCTATTGGCATGATTTCTTTTGACCTCTATCATTTTTATAGATTACAATGCCTATAAACTACCCCTGCCCCCAGTAAACGTGCCAAATTATCCATTTTGAACTCATCTCCAGCCAATTTCAAAGGGACTGCTTTGAAATAAAATAGACCAGCATAGTTCTGCAATAAGTTGTTTTAAGATAGGGGTGGGACTTATAGGTGAAGAAAAGGGGTCCTTTTTTCAATGTACTGTATTGTGATGCTGGAAACACTTAACCCAGTGTTCAGTATAGAGCTAGATATATATGTATATATTTATTATTTTCATATAATCTTTCAGACAGAGATCAGAATTGACTGTCAATGTGAAATAAAGAGCTCTCCTTGTACTTGAACAACAGTTATGATTCCAGTTCGTATCTGCTTCAGGGCTTATCAGGACTCCGCTCTCAGGAGCAACAGAAGGCGAAATTCTATGGTTTGATCATTTCACATGTGTGTCAGCCCCAAAGCTGAGATGTTGTATGGTGAGGCTTCGAAGTGGCACTTTCCATTCACGTTACAACTTCTAGACTCTGCTGCTGGAAAGGAATCCTTATCAGCTCTGTAAGATTACACATAAAGATAGTTCTCACATGAGGCTAGAAGTTTTTCTTATCCCGTTAAAGGTTATTTTCTTTGAAGGTCAATTACACCACCTTAAAAATGGCAGTAATGGGGCCAGAGAGATGGTACAGTGGTGAGGATGCTTGTCTTGCCTGCAGCCAACCCATGTTCAATCCCGAGCATCCCAGATGGTTCCCTGAGCCTGCCAGGAATGATCCCTGAGCTCAGAGCTAGTAGTACGCCCTGAGAACAGCTAGGTGTGCCCTCCTCCACGTACCCCCCCTTGCAAAATGGTAGTATTTTGTCCATCCAAACACAAACAAGTGACAAGCTACCACCCAGGCTGTACTTTAATATGGATTCAGTGGGTCGAACAAGCCACATTGGCCAGAAAAGCATGATCCCTTCCCTGGACACTTGCAGAGTAGATTCCTGGTAAGACCTTGGTGTCCACGGTTCAGGAAATTCTTCAAATATATGAGACTTGTCTTTTCTCCTCCATGGAGGGTTGTTCTAACTGGTTGTCAAGTCATCTTGATCCTGATCATTAAAATTCATTGCTTGTCATTTTGCTAATTTATGAGAATAATTTATTAAAGTCTGTGCTTTGGCTCCTTACTTGTAAATAACCCTTAACCTATATTTACACTGAGATGCAAAATAGTCATGTTTCAGCAGTATTGATTAGCCAATTTAAGCCTGTGCTTTTTGTGTTTTAGGAAACAACTATGCCAAAGATCAGGGGAAAGAAAATAAATGCTCAGTATTGTCCACGTGCACCTGAACTATACAAGAGAATGATATCGAATTGTCCTGTAAGCACCATAAATATGGATCAGTGACTCAATGTGAGTTCTAAAATGCAAGTATTGGTGGTTATAGGAAGCAAACGTCAATTGAAATCTGAAAGCAGATGAATCAATCATTTACTTGAGCTGAGTGATTCTACTCCCTTGGCAGGTTGCTCTAATTAGAGGCACTTAAATTGGCAGAACTGTTCATGAACTTCGGGTCAGCCTGCAGTTTTGAAGTCAGTTTTTAACCAGCCTCTTAACACTGTGCTGTTAACTCATAAAAGAGAACAATGTTCCATTTCTGTCTCAATAAACACTTCCACCGTTTCTTTCTTCCTGCTTTTTTCTTCCTTTAACCTATTCTTTTACCTCCTTACTCAGATGAATGTGGGAAGGTGAATACTGGTCAGTTAATTTCATATTATATTCATACTGCTCTTTTTCAATGCTGCTTATACCCAAGATTGAAAAGGCGTGGTTTGAGGAAAAGTAATGATTCTTCATTTCATCAGTGGGCATTACATGAACTGTACTTTCTAAGATGGGCTGGAGCGATAGCACAGCAGGTAGGGTGTTTGCCTTGCATGTGGCCAACCCGGGTTCGATTCCTCTGCCTCTCTCAGAGAGCCTGGCAAGTATCTCACCCGCACAGGAAAGCCTGGCAAGCTACCTGTGATGTATTTGATATGCCAAAAACAGTAAAACAATTGTGAGATCAATTTGTTGTGAGACATTATTGGTGCCTGCTCGAGCAAATCGCTGTCCACTGGGAGGACAGTGCTAAAGTGCTACTTTCTAAGATAAAAAGGTGGATTTTGTTAAAAATTGATGGAAATAGCTTTTTCTCACTGGGACAATAACTTGATTTCTTTGAAAGACTGATTCTTCCATCTGGTGTGGCTTCAGTGGTGCAATCAGTTAATGCATGCCACTTAATAAGACTGATCCTTCCTTCTAAAATAACACTGCAAACCATAATTCCTTTATTTGAATATTTATTCATTCATTCATTCATTTATGCACTGCAAGTTCAAACCCAGGGCCTCACAGATGCAAAGGCAATAAGCTATCACTGATCTACATCGTCAGCCCCTCAGAAAACTCTGAAAAGGGGGCCAAAGTGATAGTACTGTGGGTAGGGCATATCCCTTACACGCAGCTGACCTGGGTTTGATACTGGGAATCGAATAACCCCCCCCCCCCCCAGAAGTGATCTCTGAATGCAAAGCAGGAGTAAGCCTTGAGCACTGCCATGTGTGCCCCCCCACAAAAGAAAACTGAAAAGAAATAGCACAGCCCACCTGGCACCCGAATCACAGTGGTCTGCTGCCAGGTTCATTTGTTTGTAACAAATAAGTTTTAAAAAAATGGGCAGAACGGGAAGAAAGTATCCTCCTCACTAATCTGCTTATCATCACTGATGTGAGGAGTGTTCCCTCAGCTTTCTGCCTGTGAGAAAATGGCCCATGCCACACACCTCCTTAGAGGGGGAAGGGAGCTTGGAGGAGTCGCTGCACCTGAGCAGGGCAACGCTGTATGAGTCTGTGCCCAGCAGAGGAAGGGTGTTCTCAGGTCTGGCAAATGACTTTCCTTTCCAGAAATCTTTGTGAGCTCATTACGTTAGCTCGCCCCATTCTTAGGAGAGCCACAAGGAAACCGGCTGGCTGGTAATCAGGCAGTGGGCCAGCAAGGCTGGCTTCACAGGTGTCTGAAAGCCTTTCCTCTTGGAAGAGAAAGAGGAAATGGTTGTGCAGCGCCTTGGACGAACGCCAGAAGGTTCTCTGCTGCAGAATTGATTGTCTGCTTTTATTTGGAGGCACCCGGTGTCCAGGGAACACGAGTGGCTCGGTGCTGTGGGGAGAGTATGGGAAAGGGTGTTGTTCACAAAGGTGCTCAGGGGACTGACCGGGTGGTGCCAGGAATGGAACCCCGGCATCCTGTGTGCAAAGCATACACTCAGTCCAGGATTCTCTATCTCTGGATCCTGCAAAATTCATATTCTGTATTTCTAACTGGGAACCCAAGAATCCATTGAATGGGTATCTAGCTCTGATCTCTTACTGGCTTGGAGATTTTGTCTATAATCGAGGCTCTGGCTTTCCAAATTTGAAATGGAGATAACAAATCTTGTCTCTAAAGACTGCTTAAGTATCACATGAGAAAATGTATGATGCATTTAACAGAGACTTTGTCACATAATCGGTCACGGTCACGGTCCTTCCGTTGTTCATCGATTTGCTCGAGCGGGCCCAGTAACGTCTCCATGGTGAGACTTGTTACTGTGTTTGGCATATCGAATACGTCACGGGGAGCTTGCCAGGCTCTGCCGTGCGGGCGAGATACTCTCGGTAGCTTGCCGGGCTCTCCGAGAGGGGCGGAGGAATCGAACTCGGGTCGGCCATGTTGGCCCCTTGTAAGGCAAATGGCCCTACCGCTGTGCTATCGCTCCATCGGCAAAATAAATTCCAATATCTACCTCTCCACCTCCCACACCACAGAGTTAAGCCTAATCTCCACTGCTTTGTATGGGAATTCATAGAGCTAGAATAGCGATTGCTCTGTGTCTTAGGACTCTGGACATCAGCGTAATTAAGGTGTGTAGCTCTCCCTATTTGAGTTAGCTGGGTTAGAACAAATAGTAGATCCCATGAGTTAACTCCCAGCCCATAAGTGATCTGCCTTTCTGAAAATGGACATTGTGATTTTTAACTGTGTAATCTTACAATATTTTCTTCTAGACAGTATCACATGAGACTAAACAGAATAAGGGTTTGTGATCCTTTTTTTCTATGGTCTGAGACCCAGGCTTTATGAGCCTCGGGCTGAGAGTCCATGGGGTACCCTTTACCTGTCCTGAAATAGAGTATGGTATGAAGTTCACTTTCGCCATTGTGACTTTAAATTTCATGTTCCTGGTGACTATATTTCCCACCTGCTACAGAGACTTTGTCACATAATCGGCAAAATCAATTGCCGGGGAGAATTACATTCTATTTTTATTCTAAAAATAGAATTTGTTACAGTTCTCATCCAGATCCTTCATCTTCCAGTAGGCAGGGGTTACACCCACCAACTGCCCCCCAGCACCTTGTAATCCCATCAACGGCCAAGACCCAGAGACTATAAAACCCAGCTCCCGGAAGAGAACTTTGCAGAGTCTCCAGCCCCCACGCCTGACTGTCCTCACCGGGGCCCCTTGGAGGGGGGCGGATTGAGTTTCCCTCCCCGCCCTGAGCAGAGCCCCGGCAGCCGAAGACCTCCAGAACCAGCCACAACCATGCTGAGACCACTCTCCACTCACATGAAGAGGAACAAAGGCATGCAGGTCCCAGGGCTGAGATCTCCAAGCCTGCTTGGATTGGGGCTGAGCATCCTCCAGTCAGATCCTCCATCTTCCAGTAGGCAGGGCTCACACCCACCAACTGCCCCCCTCCACCCCGGCGCCATGTAATCCCACCAATGGCCAAGACCCAGAGACTATAAAACCCAGTTCCCGGAAGCGGCTGCGAGACATCTTATTGTCTCATTCTCACTTTGGACAACCTGGCAGGCTACCGAATGTAACCTGCCCACACGGCCGAGTCTGGCAAACTCCCTGTGGCATGCCCAATATGCCAAATACCAGTAACAATGATGGGTCTCATTCTCCTAACCCTGAAAGAGCCTTGAATATGGTACTTTTTAAAATCTCAGGACTAGGGCGAAGGAGACGTTACTGGTGCCTGCAATCGAAGAACAACAGGATGATCGTGATCGTGACAGTTCTCACATCAGGGGGTTCCCCATAAGTTGCTCCAGCCCCTGCAACCTAAGATATTTTTGAGCAAAAATCATATACTTTAAATTGGTGGTTTTCAACCATTGTTCTCCAGACCAGGGCCAGTCTGCATGTCTAAACATGTTGAAAACCACTGCTATAAACAGGAAGTAGGCCTTGAAAACTATACTGCATTTGGAAACTATGTAGCAGTGTATGTATGTCAAATTATGCGACTTGGATGTAAATAATATGTGACTGACAATGGATGGGAATACGGGGGACATTTCTCAGTGCTATGGGCTGATTCATGCCATAAATCTGAGCAAATAGGGATATCTGAGCCATACAAATGATGTCCCATTACTTCCTTTGCTAGGAATCCTCCCGTGCTGTGTGTGATTTGAAAGCTTCTCTCCAAGATTACAAAATACTAGGGTTTTATCTATAAATCTCCACTTTGGTGAGCCGGTTAGAAGATACCACAAAGTTCAGCATAGTTATTAGTGAAAACTCAAAGACACAATAAAAACCGACTCTTTGATTGTTATTCTCATGGGAGAAGAGAAAAAAGCAGCAGTGGCCCCTCCTGAAGAAGGTCCCACTGACTTCACCAGGCCACGCCAGGCTACAGCAGGAAGCCCTGGCCTCAGGAGAGCAGAACTAGGGTATTACCCAGAGAAGCCTGACCCACCTGGAATTAAAATACACAAGCAAGTTCCTGAGGGCTGGGATTCCAACCCCGCACCCTGGCTCCCCTCTGAGAAGCTGCTTTTTTCCTCACATATGGGAAGGAGCTGGGCTCTGCAGCTCTCCTGCCGCCATGATTCGGAAGGTGTGAGCCGAGGTGAGAAGGACACCATTCTCTTCCCTCAGACCAGCACACTGGAGGGAATGCAAAGCAGATCTGCATCCTCTGGGCATTTCGGAATCAAAGAGCTAGCTGCCAAAGGGTGAGTGGTTTGGAGTTAGGGCACCAGCCAGGATCTGTTCCATCTCATCCAAGCATGATGCCCTGCTGTCCTACCCGAGGGATATTGAGAATGATTGGAATGAGCAGCTGATGCCTGTGGGAGAAGGGAAAGATTCCACCTGGTCCTCGCACAGGCGCTTCCTTCATGGACACACCTGGGATGAGTGCCACAGGCATGCACCTATCAAAGTCAACTTTGTACAGACCCCCAAGGCACCAAATGAGACACTGTCCGCTCTAGAACTAGGGATGGGAAGGTGGCAGAATGAATAACAGGAACTCGATTTTCTTTCCCTTTTTTTTTTTTTTTTTTTGCTTTTTGGGTCACACCCAGCGACTCACAGGGGTTACTCCTGGCTCATGCACTCAGGAGTCACCCCTGGCAGTGCTCAGGGGACCATATGGGATGCTGGGAATTGAACCCAGGCCGGGCGCGTGCAAGGCAAACGCCCTACCCACTGTGCTATCTCTCCAGCCCTCTTTCCCTTTTCTTGTTAAATGTTTTGGGATGATTAGTGTTCGTGGGCTGCAAGCAAACTCCTCTTGAGCACTAACGCATTTGTACACTGTGGTCTGGCTGCCACCACAGAGCTCTCCTGAAACT